CGACTTCGCGAAGATCGTAGTATTACTTATAGAACTTACGAAGGGTAAAAAGGAGTTTTACTTCGGAAAAGAATAAAGGAAGGCTTTCGAAACGTTACGAGATAGTATAATATCTAATACTATGCTTATAACCTATAACCCCGAAAGGCTACTCGAATTAGAAATAGACGTATCGGACTACGCTATAGGAGCGTAGATTAGCTAACGAGACGATAACGGTAATCTACGATTAATCGCCTTTTTTTCGAAGAAACTCTACGGCGCGGAACTAAACTACCCTATCTACGACAAAGAATTTTTAGTAATTATCGCCGCTATTAAAGAATTTAAGTACTATATACTAAGAACGAAGTTTAGGACTAAGGTTTATACCGATTACTAAAATATCTCTTACTTCGCCACGATATAAGAACTTAGCTTACGATAAGTACGATACGCTAAATTCCTAGCTAAATACGATATTAAGATTATCTATCGGAAAGGATCGGAAAATAGTAGAGTAGACGCACTTAGCCGCCGACTAAACTACGATACTAAAGTATAAAAAGCAAAAGGCTAGATATTTTAATAAAATAACGAAAGAAACTATATATAAATAATACTTAACCTCCTTATATTTAAAGTCGAAGTAAATACTATATACTACGATAAAATACTAGATTAGGTATCTAAATACGAAAAGGAAGTACCGGACGACTATATAATAGAAACGGGAAAAGGACCTACTAGGAATAGATTACTTTAGATACTACCGCCGCTACGCGATAAAATCTTAATTAATATTTATACGCACCCTACGGCAGGATATTAAGGAGTAAGGAAGACTCTTAAACGAATATAACGAACGTACGACTACTAAGGAATTAAAATAGATATCGTACGTATCGTTAGATAATACGAAGACTATATACATAGTAAGGCTATACGGTATAAACTATATAGAGAACTAAAGCTACTACTAGTGCCTTTAAGACTATAGGAATTAATAGCCTTCGATTATATTATAAAGCTACCTAAATTAAAGGAACTAGGATCTAACGTCGAATATAATAGTATATTCGTTATTATAGACCGAATAAGTAAATTCGGATATTTCTTATTATACTAAGAAGCAATAGACGTAGAAATACTCGCATATATAGTACTTAAATATATTATAGCTAACCACGGCCTTCCGGAAGAAATCATTTCGGATCGAGGAACGATATTTACCTCGAAATTCTAGCAAGCCCTAATAGCTTAACTTAGAACGAAATATAAGCTTAATATAGCTTACTACCCTTAGACGGATAAATAGATAGAAAGGTTAAATTAGATACTGGAATAATACCTACGGTGCTATATTAACTACGAATAAGACGATTAAGTCTCGAAATTACCACTCGCCTAACTCGCCTATAATAGCGTATCTATAGAATTAACTTAAATCTCACTATTCTATACGAACTACGGATATAAGCCTGAGTTCGGTAGTAAAATACTAAGGAATAGACCTCTTACTAAAAAAGCAATACTTAAAGTAAACTAACTACGCTTACTATATAAATATATAAAAGGATAGCTCGAATTCGTACGTATACGAATATCGAAATACTATAATAAGAAAAAATCGAAGGGACCGATCTTTCGGAGGGGAGATATAGTCTACCTACTACATAAAAATTTTATAATAACTCGATCCTTACTAAAGCTCGACTATAAAAAACTTAGATTATTCGAAATCGACGAAGTTATCTTAGATATTAACTATAAACTTTTACTACCCTTAAGTATAAGGATATACTTAGTTTTTTATATCTTATTACTTAAGAAAGCACTATAAAACATAAAAATAAACTATAAACCGGAAGTTCTAGAGGAACTCTACGAATTAGAACGAATAATCGATAAATAAATAATTAATAAAGAAACTAGATACCTTATTAAATAGAGGGGATACGTAAGTAACGAAAATATATAAGAACCCGCTAAATACCTCACGAACTATAGCTACCTATTACGATAGTTCTATCGGACCTAGCTAAACTAAAATCCGCTAAGATCGAAGGATCGAGCGGTACGTCCTCGTATATAGTATCCTATGCCTATATAAAGTTAGGCTCTAGGAAGTTCTTAGTAAAGGAACGACTAGCGGAGGAACCCGATACTTCTAACTACCTTTACTCGCGCTTAGCCTCTTCCCGCTCTACGCGTTCTAGCTCCTCCACGCTATTAATACTACGAGATATAGCTCTTATTATCTTCTTAAACTATAGTTTCTTTTATTTTCGGAGGCGTAAGACTTTCTCTTCTACTTATTTAAATTCGGTCTCGAGTTTTTAATATTATTCGGCGATCTTACGAAGCTACGAGGTAGAAATACTACTAACGTCGTAGGCTAAGCGGTTTAAATAAATATACTTAGCGTAACGAGAGGAATTATCGGCAAAAACCTAATAAGTTTTAAGACCGCGACGCTTATAGTTAGAGCAAGTAAGTATCTCGACGGAGTATACGAAAATAGTTTCGAGAAGACGGATCTTACGCTCTTTAGCGTTAGAAGACGATTTCTACGTACGCTTAGCGACACGGCCGGATATAGCGAGGAAGTTAAAGGAGAAGGAACTCACTAGAATTAATAAGTTAGGAAAGGCGTATAATAAATAATCTTAGGGATAAGATCTCGGAAAGAGGGGTATTATATTACGACCTAATATACGGCCTTTACGTGCTTCTAGGCATACCTTATTATTTTCTACCTATTCACGGCACGATTATTACTTATACGAATAATCGTACCTACGATTATTGCGATTATCACGAATTATTACGAATAAGTAGAATAGATTATTATTAGGAATAATAATTACCTTAGTATATAAGAAGCCTAGCTTTACTATAGTTAGTCTTTACCTAGCTCCCTAGCTATTAATATAATTATCTACGCAAGATCTACTATCTCGCACATAGACTATAACCCGACCGCTTAAGTCAACGACATCCTAGTATACTTAGTTCATAAACCGACTTCTATTCTATCTACCCTGTAGCTAGTCTAGACCCGAACGTCACACTAGCGCTCTTTTGAGCGTGATTTTTAACATAGTATTCCCACCGTCACTAACGATCGCATTATTTAGAAATTTAAGAATCTAAGTCGCTGAGAGGCCCTCATTGCGTGTATCTAAAATTAAGGCCTAATAATTTTCGATATTCGTTCGTGGCGGTATGTTGAAAAGTGTGTAGGTTATAAAGTGTGGGAGGGTCCACCGGTGTGGTGTCGTTGCACTGCGGGGGTTGATACCGTTGGCACCTTGTGATCTAATATCCCGCCGTAACGGTGTGGCAGTTCTTGATCTAATATCCCACCGTAGCCGCGCGCGTCTCGTCCCGCGAGCTAAAGCAAGGTGCTCCACTGCGGCTAGCCTAGGTCCCACAGGAGATCCGGCACGGTCTAGAGGACCTCCGTGTCCGCCAGAGCGGAGGATGGGAATGACAATGGGACGCTATGCGGTACTCGGCCTCGCTATACAGCGCATGGTCACTTCCCAGCAGCTGCAGGACCTCTCTACGCACACGCAACTTATCATAACGACGATATCACGAGCGTCCTCGGAGGGAACCGCGCTCAAGCTCAAGTCACATGTTGCCGAGACTTACAGCATGTGATGAGCGCAAGAATAGGTTGGACTACTGGCCTCGAGGCCGCAGCTTCAGACTTTGAGTAGTGTTCCCATAGAGTAGCTGACGCTCTCGACGGCGTAGATCAGCTGCGTTATTTTGCCTATGGTATCCATGCGCGCCACGCTCTTGCCAGTCCACACCTCTGCCGCCGTCTCAACCAAGTAATGTGGCGCCTAGAAACATGGTATGGCACATTGAGGGATTCTTGTCCGTCCAACCTTGGTCTGTACTGGATGAAGACCACTGGCCACGCTGGCTTTGTGACTTCGCCGCCGCACCGACTAACCTTCTTCCGCTGCTCAGCTTCGTGCCGCGGAATCTCCTCCCCCAAGCCACGTGTATTTACCTCCACTAGACGCGGAGATCAACATGCTTTAGCTGGCGGAAGATAAACTACGGCGACGGGAGGATAATACGTGGTCGAGGACCCGGATTAGACGCCAGGATGAGCAATGGCATGGGCATGTGCGGCTGTGGTTGTGATTGAACTTGGTTCTGGGCCGGCTGGGACACGAACGAGATGGGAGAGAGTTAAGTCTAGGTGGCTTCTAGCGATCTGGCCGCCTGAAAAGCGGAGAGTTAGAGGTCGAGGGAGTCGTGCAGGAGTCTGTTAGCAGAGGGGAGTGAAACATGACCGCATCTTGCATCCAAGGGCAGACGATATCGTCCGAGAGTGTATGTTATCTACAGCCACTTAGGGAGCCATTCAGCGACAGAAATAGAGCCATCGGACATGGAATCAATTCACATAGGTGTACATCCTATCAGATTGTACTAGGACAAAAGGCTTCTTTTCTCAGGACATGCTGATGCCCTTTCGCTGAACGTTAGTAAGCTGTATGCGACTAGCAGCTCTGTAGACGGCTAGGGTCGGAGCCAGCCAGGCAACGACCTGCATGCTGCCTATATGGATACGGCGGTTGTGTGCCGCCATGAGCGCATTCTCAAAGGAGGAGGCCGGCGGCGTACTCGCCGCTGCTGTGGCCCACGACGCCGCTGGATCAGATACCCTGTGAATCGAAAAGGTTCAGCTGGACGGCCATGAATAGGCTGGAGCACTTGATTATTGCCAGTCTCGTGTCGTCCTTGAATCGGCTTAGCACCTCTACGATAGACTGCCTGGATGGGTGCTCAACCAGGGTCCGTAGCCTTGTGGATGCCCGCCATGCCCGAGGCACTTTCGAGATACCGCACTTTCTCGATAACTTCGCTGCGCTGGTCTGTCTTAGCCGATTCACCTGGCGTATTTATCCCTGCCACAGCAAAATCAGTTTAGTGCCAATATTGAATATCAAGTTCTTCCACCTTACTTCTATTCCCCGTCATATGCACCAACCATGATCGCCACCATGATAGCTATGATCGGGGCCATCTTCATCCCCTTCTTCTCCAGAGGACTGCCCATGTTCCTCGCCGGCGGTGTCGTGCAGGGCATCCCCTGGGGCATCTTCCAGACTCTGGACGTGACGTACGCAGCAGACATCTGTCCTCTTCATCTCAGAGGCTACACGACTTCGTGGGCGAGTGCCCCCTCTTCTGCTCCCGCGGTCCTCGGTTTCAGTAGCGCAACAGCTCATCATACATGTATTTGGGTTCTATGTCCACTAGATCAATATGTGTTGGGTCATTGGCCAGTTCAATGTTCCTTGCTGCTGGCATCCTCAACGGCTTCATTCACCGCGACGACGAAGGGTCTTATCGCATTCCCTTTACCATCCAGTGGAAAAGTCAACCTCACCTGTGCCCCGAGCAGTCAAGTGCGTTTGAGGTGAACTGACACTGTCGGGCTGTCCTGCAGGCCTGGCCAGTCCCTATTATCATCGCGACAATCTTCACTCCCGAGAGTCCCTGGTGGTTCGTCCGCCACAACCGCATCAGCGAGGCGCGCGAGGCCATAGAGAAGCTGACGACGCCCCGCCCCGACATTGACTTTGACATTGATGCGCACTTAGACATGATGCGTCTGACTGTCGAGTTTGAAGCGCAGACAAGCGGTGCCGGCGGACACTACTGGGACTGCTTCCGCGGGGCTGACCGGCGTCGCACGGAGATTGCAGCCCTGACCTGGACGACGCAGGCCTTTTGCGGTGCCTCCTTTATCGGCTACGGCATCGAGTTCATGATTCAAGCCGGCCTAAACCCTGACAATGGCTTCTCCATGAGTCTGGGTCAGATGGGCCTCTCGCTTGCCGGCTGTATCATTGCCTGGTGGATCATGACGCACGTCGGACGCCGCACCATGTACGTGACCGGTCTGGCCGGGATGACCATTATTCTGCTCATCATTGGATTCCTTGGTCTCGCTCCCCGAAGTAACACGGGCGCTCCCTGGGCTGTTGGTGTCCTTATCATGGTCATGTCTTTGTCTTTCAGCTGACGGTAGGTGGTCCTCCCTTCAAGGACGCCCTTGTGACCTCTGGGGTGCGCATGAGAGCTAATACAAGGATAATTAGGTTGGCCCGTCGTGCTACACCATTGTCGCGGAGACTCCATCTAGTCAACTCCGTGTCAAGACGGTGGCTATCGCGCGAGCATCGTACAATGCTGGAGGGTTCATCACGAACGCACTCATGCCGCAGATCATTGGTCGCAACGCATGGAACTGGGATGCCAAGGGAGGATTCTTCTGGGCTGGCATCGCATTTCTGTTCCTTCTCTGGGCCTGGTTCCGCCTCCCTGAGACCATGGGGTTGACCTATACGGATTTGGATCTTCTCTTTGAGCACAGGGTTCGCACGCGCAAGTTTTCGCCCGCGACAGCCGACAATTTGCGACCTCAGCTTCAAGCCGTGGCCGATGGACACGACAAAGCCACTGTGGTTGAGGCCGAGGTAGTCTAAACGCGCCCAGATACTTGGCATAGCCAGGATACAAGTCTTCCAAACATGGTGCTCTCGATTGCTAAAGGAAGGATACCGGTTTCTGAAGACAGGAAACGCTCCTGAAGTAGGAAACGGCAATAGCTCAATATGCAGTGTCTAAGTCAACGATAAACAGTACATTCAACTCAGTCACCTACTCAAGGCTCGACCAATCTTCGCTTCCAATATACTCCCGTAGAGACGTCGCCTTCGCGTTGGGCGACAACTCTTGCAAGTCGCCGCACACATCTGGGTCACCGCCCGTGTAGCCGAACTCTGTAATGTACCTCAGTGATTCCTGGAACTCCCTCCTGAGAATCTCTGGAAAGAATTGGAAAAAGCTCTCGACGCTGACCACTTGGACACGGAGCTTGACGCCGCGAATGCTCGACCAGAGCTCCCAGAACTCGCGCCAGGTGGCCATTTCCGAAAAAGCGAGAATGTCTTTGCCTGTCTCGTTCTCTAGCAGCGCCTTGACGTACACACCAGTGTCGCGCTGCACAAATATCCACGGGAGCTTGGTCTCACCCACGTCTGGGATTTGGACGACAAATGAGCCGTCCTCCTGCTTCTGTGGGCGCCCCATGCCCCCCTTCCAGTTGCTGGCGTACATTCCCACCTGCACGGTGCTCATTTTGGCCGCCAGGTCGGGCACCTTTTGTTTAATGTGCTTCACGACGTCTGCCTTGCCATCAAAGTGGAAGTTCCAGGTGTACTTGCCGCCCGACCAACGCTTAGTGTCGCTAAGGCTGCTGAACACAAAGTGCGTCAGTGTGGCCGACACGACTGGGCTATTGGCGGCGGTTGCAATATTGATGCCCTGCTTGGTCTCGATGTTTCTCGCATATTCGTTTGGCGCCATCCCAGCCTCGTGTGCTGCAGCAGCATGGACGGGACTGAAGACGAGGTTGTAGAAATCGGTCACGGCAAAGATAGCAGTGGCTCCGCTAAAGGCAGCCTCGAGAGATGTAACGTCGTCGAGGTCCGCCTTGACCATCTGGACGCCTTTGGAAGTCCAAAGCTTGGCGGCAGCAGATGAAGGGTTGCGGCTGATGCCGCGGATGTGCCATTCAGGTGACTGGAGCAAGGCATTGGCGACAGAGGATCCCTGGGTGCCCGTGATGCCAATCACGACCAAGAGCTTGGAGGCGGTCATAGTATACGAAGAGAGAGAGAAGAATGGTGCACAGGCCGCGGTTCTATCGTTGGATTTGATCTAATGCTTTTAGGTTCAGACACGCTTCCTAGAGCTCGTTTAATAGCTGAGTGACCCCTTCCACGTATGCTCTTGATTTCGAATCAAAGCGGAGCGGAGCGGACTTGTTACAAATCGAAAGACTGCTCGGCGACATCTTCTCATGCCACCAGCTCGGAGAAGAATGGTCGGGGACTCGGGAGTCCGGGACTCGGACGTGGTGTTGCGCCTTGACTCTCGATTGATCCACGACCCAACCGGCTCACGTCTCAGACTCTTTTGCTGCCCATGTGAGATAGAACTGGTATCGCCCGATATTGTCTCTGGCAAACGGAATTATGGCCTTCTAAAAGCTACTAAAGTGGTACGAGGCGACAAACCGCCGATCCTCCAGCGTTAACCTCGCGCAAAAGTGGCAATCTTTACCTAGAACAACGCAGTGACTTGACTTCCAGCCTTCACCTACACCGGAATTCTTCCTAATCATGCATCAAACTGTTCCAGGCCACCAGAATAGGTGTTCACTTCATGTTCCCGGCTCTCCGCGTTGGCGTTCAAGTTGAGTGGATCGAGTGTGGAGACACACCCAACGGCTCGGAGAGTTTATGTAATTGACATTGAGTAGAACAACGGCGCGCCACATGATGCTTGGCTTTCCATTTGGTATGTACAAGACAGTCACTAGTACATGCAAGGGATCTTTCCACCATCGCAGCGTAGACCCTGCCTCCTGAGTCCTCAGTTCCAGTCCCGAGTCCTCGCCCTCCTCTAGCCTCCTACTCGTAGATCCGGACCACCTCCCTTCCAAAGTTCAGTTCGACCTTGCCGAGGGTGACATTATTCGTCAGTTCCAACACTCGACTGAGGATCTGCGGAAAATCTGGGTTCGCAAGCAATGGATTGAAGAGATTGACGTCGTGCTCGTAGTCTGCGCGCGAGGGGTTGGCGCGAAGGTTGATCGCTTGCTTACCCGCAAGGATACCCGCGCGAGGGAACAGGGTGAGGCGTGAGGTAATCTCATCAATGTGGTCGTACATCTCTTTCGCGGACCCAAACGCCTTGTTGATCCAGCCGATCTTCTCTGCCTCTTTGGGGGTGATGTCCTTGGCCGTGAGGATGTACTCCATGGCCAGGCCGCGTCCAATGAGCCGTGGCAGTTGCTGACTGCCGCCGCCGCCGGGGAACGTCCCCAGGCCGACCTCGAAATGACCAAGGAGAACGTCGTGCTGGACGGCAAAGCGCATGTCTAGTGCCATGAGCAGCTCGTTGCCGGCATTCCGCGCACGGCCCTCCACGGCACCAATGGTGATCTGAGGCAGCATCGAGATATTGTACATGAGAGCTGAAAAGTTCTCCACGGCATTGTCTACCACGTCTTGTCAGCGGCAAGGTGCTACAAACTCTCTCGTTAAGCTCTACTTACCAATGGTGAGGATTTGCGGATCCAGGTGGTTCATGAAGAAGCGAGGAACGTCACTCTTGAATATTACCATCGTGGTCTCGTTGTCTGCCTGGAGTCGTCGTACAATATCCGTCATGCCGACTTGGATGTCCTGGCTCCAGGTGTTGACGTCGGAGACAGGGTTGTGGAGCGTGATCTCAAGGATGGCGTCGTGCTGCGACGTCTTCAGGCCGGTGTATTACGGCAGATCCAGTGCCTGTGCTTGAGGGACAAACAGGGCGGCCAGTAGCTGCCATGAAAGCCATTGCCATTGAAAATGCATTTTGGGTCGGACGATGGTGGTGTCGAGCTGTGATGAATGTTTTCTCTTGTCAGAAACTGTGCGAGAATGTTGAGTTTGAGCTGAAGATGGTTGGAAGCAAGAGGAAGGCATGTTCCCTTTTGAACTAATGGTCTGCTGTCTTCATGTTGACCCTTCGTAGCTGGATATGACGATTTGTAATGCCACGCAGCGAAGGGATTTACTTGCTGAATGTCATTCTCGACGTAGAAAGTGCCAGAGCCACGAAAAGAGATCAATAACATAACCAGTCCGAGGGGCATTTCGGAGATAGGACTTGAATGTCTTGGGCAGACAAGATGCCAACTCTGAGAGAAAGGTGTGTAGGAATCATTCGTTGCCGCACCCATCGTCTAGCTTAACTCCAGAGTTCATGTTTGAGGCGGACAAATCGTGCTGGTCCAAAGTCAATTCTGATGTAATGTCCCCGTCCCATCTCCAAGTCCGCTAGCGTGTTGCTCAGCAGGAACTTGGAATTCCTGGACATCCCGGCAGCCTCCCTATTTCTAAGCTTGTAAGATTTGAAAGCAAGCTTGAAATTAGGCTTGGCGATCGACAACTCGAGGCTCATTGTTGAGAAGAAGCTTGACCTTTGTCTGGTGTCAATGGTGTGTTCAGCGACGAATTGCTCCGTCCGGCTGTTAAAGTTGGCCCGAACGCCGAAGAGAGAGCGCTAAGAGGCGACTAGATTAGTTCAGTGGCCTAGTCGCCATGGTGAATCACTAGTTGGGATTAGTCTTCAACATCCTCTACCAGCATCTTACATATTCCAGTCTCGGGGAGATCGGCAGGACAGGACGGGTATAAAGGTAACGCACATAGACGACACATGCTGTCAAATCAAAGCATCAATTTGACTCGCCTCAAATCGTACTCTTAAACACGAACAAATCCTCAGACGAAGATGGCGACCAAAATAATTGCAGTGGTCGGTGCCACTGGCAACCAGGTATTTCCACACTAGGCGTATTCATAGGGGAGGCTCGTGTACTAAGCAAGCCGCAGGGCTCTTCAGTCGCCGCGACGTTCCTCCAGGAACCCGGCTGGCAGGTCAGAGGCATCACGCGGGACCCTTCCAAGGAGTCCGCCAGAGCATTGGCCAGCCGTGGAGCGGACGTCGTCACGGCTGACCTCGATGTCCCTGGTTCCATGGAAAAAGCCTTCCGCGGCGCCAACGTCATCTTTGGCACCACCGACTTTGTGCAGCACTTGCAAGACCCCAAGATTATTGCAGCAGCCCAGGCAGAGAACCGCCCTGTCAATGAACTGGCCACAGAGCGAGAGACGGAGCAGGCGAAGAGGCTGATCGACGCGGCAGCGGCTAATGTGGATGCCCTCGATCTGTTCGTTTTGAGCACACTCAGCGACGCCAAGGGCCTGAGCCAGGGCAAGATCCAGTACAACCTACACTTTGATTCCAAGTGGGCCGCAGTCGAGTATCTCAAGGCCACCTATCCCGCCCTTTGGGCCAAGACGAGCTTGCTGCAGTTGGGCATCTTTGCTAGTAACTGGAAGGTCCCCTACTACACGCCGAGAAAGCAAGAAGACGGGACGTTCAAGCTCAGTCTGCCGATGAGCGGCGACAAAAAGTTTCCCATCATAGACCCCAATGCAGATACTGGTAAGCTGCCCCGATTTGATCAGGTTGACAGACGTGGCGGGCTAACAGTCGGGCGCTAGGTCACTTGACCAAGGCCCTCGTTCATGTCGCACCAGGAACCCATCTTGTTGGCGCGACCTCCATGATAAGCTGGAATGAATGGTGCGAAGCTTGGAGCAGACAAACCAAAGCGCAGTGCAAATTTGAGAAACTGGACCGTAAGGTGCTCGAGGAAATCATGGGACCCCTGGGCCGGGAAATTGCCGACATGTTTCAGGTGGGTGCACTGCCCTACCCTACATCAGATTGATCTAACCTTCTCGCGCAGTATCCGTACATGGATGAATTTGGGTACGACGGAAGTGACCCAACGGTGGTGTACCCCTGGGATCTCCGTGTGGAGGTTGCAACCACGCCGATTGAGCAGTATCTAGCGAGGCAGGACTGGTCCAGTGTTTTATAGGAGGAGATTCATAAGGAATTGCAAGTGAAGTTTAGATAAATAATGACTCTAGAAGATATTAATTCTAATTTATTAGTAAAAAATATTTTAGAATAAAATTAATTATTAATAAATATTTTAAAGCTTTATATTATTATCAAGATTCTTATGTCAAAGAACATATTATTTAATAGAGTCCATGAGGCTATCTTACTTCTAAATCCCCGAGCCGTAAACTTAGACCTTTTTCTACATATACTTCACACCCGATTTTGAGCACTTCGCTTTGGCCATGGCTTCCCTTCGACCGTAGTAAGACTCCCATGAAATTGCGCACTGAATATAGTACTGCCTAGAATTGGTTTCGAACTGAACTTCGACTGAACAACCTTATCGGAAATCCCGCAGCTAACAGTGGCCACTTAGCTTCCCCGCAATCCGTGCCTGTATCTTTGACATGGACGGGCTTCTTATCGACTCCGAAGACAGGATCACTAGAAGCACGAACGAGCTCCTCGAAAAATATGGAAGGCCTGCCCTTGTCCCGTCGATTCGAGCCCAGCTCATGGGTGTCCCAAACTCAACAAACGGCGACGTGTTCCACAACTGGGCCAAGTTACCCATCTCCCGGGAGCAGTTCGCCCGTGAATCGGCGCAGAATATGCGACTGCATTTTACGCAATCCAAGCCTATGCCCGGTGCTGAGAAGATTCTGTCGAAACTCAGCCGTGCACGTAGCGAATCGTCTGGGGCCATGATTGAGCTGGCATTGGCATCCACTACGAAGAGCCACAGCTACAATTTGAAAACCTCGAGGCCGGAGACAAGACAGCTGCTAAACTTCTTCCCGTCTGACAGGCAGGTCCTAGGCGACGACCCACGAGTGCGCCAAGGTCGGTCCAAGCCAGCGCCAGATATGTACTTGGTCGCGTTGGAGTCGTTGAACTCAGCGGCAGCCCCGGGCGAAAGGGTTATCTGTCCCAACGAATGCTTGGTGTTCGAAGATAGCGTGATCGGAGTAGAAGCTGGGAGACGGGCGGGCATGAGGGTCGTTTGGGTCCCGCATCCAGGTTTGGCGGCCGAGTACCAGCCGGTGCAGAAGGATATACTGGCTGGGAGGACGGGAATGATCGAGATAGGCGATGAAAATCAACTGGGAGAGATTGATGACGGCTGGGCTGAGAGCATACCGACCCTGGATCACTTTGACTACGAAAAGTACGGCATCACTGTGCGGTCCTAAGGGTCCCCTGTGGGAAGCGTTCGATCAAAGTGGTTCTTCTCGTGGTAATTACGTCGAGAATTGCATACTGGCTCATGAGTAAATGAGCGGATATGTTGGTGCTTGGGATGTTGGCTCCGAGCTCTTAAGCAGCCCTCTAGCACGGACCACAGGAGCTGCGACTCGTCTCTTCCGATCTGGTTTTCTTGGCGACGCTTGAGTGAAGTGACCGAGACTAATTTAGGCATGGTATCTGCGGTGAGAAATGACATTGAATGAGTTTCAAACGCGGATCTTCTCTTGCCGCTAACGAGCGCTGAAAGCAACAATCTCGTCAAAGTCTTTCATCGTCAAGCTTTTCACGTCTCGATCGTCCTTGGTGATCTCCAGCCTCAGACGACAGGCAACTCTAAGAGCAATGGAGGCTTTCTGCGTCTTGCCTGTCGCCTCGAACAACTTACCCTTGAAGAAGGTAGTGCGAGCAATCTGGTTCTTGTGTGCAGTCGGGTCGACAGACCAGATATCCAGCGCCCTGTTAATCATCGAACTAACCCGAGTTAGAGTAAATCTTGGCTGATTAGTGAAATATAACAGTACTCACATTGCCTCTTCGTTCCGTCCTGACCGGGAGAGGTGCTCGGCGACTTTATGAGCGGCATTCGCAGTGTAGGGATCCCTGTCGCCCACCGTTGCGCGCATGTGGCGCCACGCTCTCAGGTGGTATTCGAAACTCTCGCTCCATTGGTTTTGCGCAGCACGGAGATTACCAAGTGCGTCAAGAAGTAGTCCAGTACGGACAGACTCCCTGTCATCCTTGCCCAAAGCCTTTTCTCTTCTCGCCAAACTATCCAGGAGAAGCGTGTTGCACTCTTCAAGTTTCCCCTGCGCAAGAAGAGCCAAACCTAGCATGGCCTCCCCTGCCCGGGGAATGTAGTTGCCGAGCGATTTGCGGATCCGGAGCGCCTCCTTGAGATCGGCTTCGCCTTCCCCGGGCCGCCCATCTTGAATGCGTGAGATAGCTCGCTCTGCGTAGGCGAGGTACAGCCTCTCGTCGACTGTTCCCTGCTCCTTGCAGATTTGGGAAACCAGATCGAGAGAACGTTCCTTATAAACGCGGCTTGTCCCGAAATCGCTCGCGTCCATGGCAATAGCTCCTAAGCAGAAGTATATGTCTGCAAGTACAGATTCCCGATCTGGGTGCGCCGAGGACTCGCAGATGCTAAGAGCGGTTTCGAAAAAGCCATCAAAATCCCTCGTTCGTCCACGCTCTTTTTGGTACCTAGCAATATCGGGTCAACAACAGTAAAGGGTATAACAAATTCATAGACGTACCATGCAGCCTCATTTAGTAACTTTGCAAAGTGCACCCTGGTGGCTTCAGAAAGGTCGGGGATCGTTGGCCAGAGCTGATGTATCCTCAGAACGTGGGGATAGGTTGCCGCACAAGCAGGCCACCTTCCGACATGTAATCTACCACCTGCTGATTTAGGCTGGGGTAATTCTGGTTCTTTTGATGGCTTGGGCATGGCTGATGGCCAGCCCGCCCAAAGAATTCGTACGACTTGGTCAAACATGAACCGTTTTCTCGTGTCGTCCATTGTTGCCAGAATTGCATCTTGCACAATGCGATGGACAGATATCTGTTGCTTTTGCTTGTCTCTTTGGATCAGGGAAGACTGCAAGAGATCCCCTCGGGCCTCAATATAGTTGCTCTTCTTGAACTGTGCGCCCGTGACAAGCAGGTCTGCCGATGCTTGCATCAATACGTCTTCTCCAATGGCGTCTGGGTCGAGGAATGAAATCAACTCCAACAACTGCCGGGCTTGGGGTTTCAACTTTTCAAAAGCCCAGACAGTTGACAGAGTGTGCCGATATGTGACCGAATTGGCGTCCAGATTTGCCCCATAAAGACTGGCATGTTCTTCATGGTCTGCATACAGCTCCAAGAACTCTGAAAAGGTGAGATCCTGTCGACGGATGATACCCGCCATCTGGGAGATGGCCAGAGGGACGCCACCAAGTGCGGCGCAAATGTCCCTGGCTGCGTTGTCTTCGGGGTCGTTCAAAGTGGTTGTGAGATGGTTGAAGAGGGACAGGCCGTCTTGTTGCGTTAGCGGGCCGAGATCGAGGCCTGAGGGTCTCCTTGTAAACGCGCTCTTGGCCAATGGGTCGCGGCTCGTGACAAGAATCGACCCGCTGCCTTGTGGCCAATAGTCCGCCAGAATCATTGGATCATCTGCGTTGTCGAATATCAGAAGCCAGGTCGCTTCCGATCCAGCTTGTCCGGGCTGAGAAAACTCGTCCGACCCCGATAGATGCTTCCGGGGATTGGAGAGCCACCCCTTGACAATCTCTCTGCTAACAACCTGACTCTTGCATTCGGATGGGTCTTCGAGTCCCAGTGCTAACGAGACTTGCTGGTAATGGTGGTCAAGCTTCGCAATCTCATCCGCCACGATCCAGAAGACTGCATCAAAAGAGTCTTTATGGCGTCGGGAGAACTCGCGGGCTATTTCCGTCTTTCCGATGCCGCCAAACCCGCATAGTGCAAATTGCCGTAGAGAGTTTCCCGACGCTGTCACTGTGTTCTGCGAAGGCAACAGCTCAGTCGCGAGACGCTCGAGGATATCTTCGCGCCCGCAGAAATCTTTGTTGGCCGAATGATTGTTGAGAAGGAAGCATGGTAAATGAATGGTTTTCCGAAAGTCAGTGGTTGGTGTTATAGGATGCACTAACTCGAACCCGGAAAGAGACGTCCCTTCTGTCGCTCTGTGTGATGGCCATTCGGCAAGTTCTAGTTGCTCAACTGATTAATGTCAACATCGCGATTTGATGTGGCGTGGATCGTGAGCTCACCTTGAAGTGGTAGTTCGCTCATAGTGGGCGAGTAGGTGCTTATCGTTGCGTATTGATATTCCTCTGACAGTATTAGCACCGTTCCGAAACTTTCCGATACATAATAACCCACGGTCCTCCATCCGGAGTGCGAGAAGACGTGCAGCGTCATGCAGAGTCTCCTGAACGAACTTGTTGAACTCGGATAAGCCTTCGCCGCCGACACTCTTGTTGAACAGACATGTGTCGTGATGGTTGAGATTGAGGCCAACGACCGTCTCAATTGGTGCACGAGTCAAACAGGCCTCACGATTGACTAGCTGCGTGTAGAATCCGAGTTAACGTTTATATTTCCATCGACGGCTGTAGACTGACCTGTTGATATTTCGGCCGTAATGGCGTTGAAGTGTTTTTCGAATCCTTTAATTCATAGACGGAGAGTATAGGAGCACGGAGCCGGATCTCTTCAAATCTATCTGCGAGGTCGAGTAGAATGGAGCCTTCTTGCTCGATACTAGCGCTTGGTATCTTGAGGCTCCTACCTGTTGTTGCCTCCATGACGTCTCGAAACCGTGTGAGATTGGCAGTCTTGTCACCATAGCGATGTGGCGTGCTGAGGAAGATGACACCTGCAATGGCGTTCAGGATTGACCCATACCGAGGAAATTGTTTGTTGGCAACGCATAACGCTTGTTTGACTATAATGCCACCTAAACTATGGCAGATGATCATAGTTGGTCTGTTGGTGGTCTAGAGAGGCTATGTTAGCAAGCATGACAAAGGGAGAAGAAAGGACTGCCATGGGCTGTTTCGCTTACTAGACCTTGAGCTGGCTGTGGTTGCGCGTCTCTCAAGTGCTGGAGGAGGTCGTAGCCAAGCATCAAGATCGATTCCCATGAGGGCTTGGTGCCCTCGAATGGCGAAGCATAATTGTACGCGAGGACACGCGCCCCAGCACCGGAACCGGGCAGAGTGGCGAGCCACTCTGGGTTCGCAAACGGCCAGTCCTCTGGCGGGATCGTTCTCGTGCCAGGGACGAGAACGAGGCTAGATTCGTGGGTTAGTGGATTGGCTAGATTCATGTCCTCGTGCCTGGGGCCTGGGCCCTGGGTGTGGGCGCCTCTTACTCGACATTATCTCGGGAGGCGTCAACCGCATTCCGCAGCAATTGAAGGTGACCGGAAGTCGCGAAACTCGCCGTTGTGGCCATATCCACGGCCCAATGAAGGGGGAAGAGTGAGACGTTGTGGAACTAGAGTCCGATGTGGGCTTGAGTTGCGGCGGGTAGATGAACAATATGACAGAGGGACATGGGGTCGCTGGGGACTCGGGAGTAGGAACACTTATCGTGGCAATGCGGGGTCAAATCAGAGTGACGTGCTTTTGCAGTTTGCTCCCAATCACAGTTGCGGCTTGCCTGCAAGGCAATCGCTCAGTCACAAACGCATGTTGGTGAGCCGTCGACTTGTACAAGTACTCATGCTACGCCACAATCGGGCCAATCGCCTGAAGAATCGTAAGTGTGGTTCTATCTGTGTCCAGAGCAGTGGAAACTGGTAATGCCTACACTGCTTCTTGCTAAGCGTGACGCGCAAATGATCTTCTATCGCCAGCATGGTACTAGAACGGAGAGTGTCATTCAGTACACATCACAGGAAGATGCGTCACACAACATAGCTCAGATCCTTCTCGCTTCTTCCAGCAGTCTCCCGTGTCCGAATACCGCGACATTGTCTCCAAAACGTTATACAGGACCGCCTCAAAACCTCAAGGTCCCACAGATAAAGAACATAGCTGAAAAGCATGATAGGAATACATAGCACAAAGAACCACCAGAACCTCACCGTGCTCTGCCCAAGGAGATCAATGTTCATACCGAACAAGCTAGAGCTGAAGCTCAGAGGAATAAAGAGCGTCGCAAGCACGGTCAATCTTTTCAGTCTCTTGGACTGCTCGATGGCTTTGCTCGACTCCTCAATCATGGCTTTGTTCATTGCCAGAGTGATGCCCCTGGTGCACATTTTGGACAAGTAAATGCAACGAGCATGAAGTTGTTCGTAGTCTTCCAAGAGGCCCTTTGCTGTGAAGGTGCCGCCAGAACTGCTGGGGCCAGTGCTTTTGGTCTGTGTGTCTGAGGACGCGGCACTTCTGGGTATTGGGCTGGATCCTTGACTACTCCTCTCGGCCAATTTGCAGATTGCACGGATACTGTTTTTGAGCTGCTGGGCATGTCGGTTGAGAATGTTGGCAAAGTACTGAAAGGTGGCCAGCGCGTCGGCAGGAACTGCTTCGGCTACGAGATTGATCTGGATTTGGGTTTTGGACTCCATGAGATTTAAGAACTGAACTTCGGAAAAGGCCGCATGCGCAAACAACGGGATGCACATGGAGAGAGGGTCTTGGGGCGCTCGACGGGCCAGATCCACGAGCGCAGCCAATGAATAGTACTGCAGGGGAAGGATGGCTGTGCTTTGCTGAACTTCTGCCGCCGCATTCGCATCCGGATCTAGTCGGTTGGAGGTGGTTCGAAATGCCATCTTGTGATGGTGTTGGATGATAGGCAGCGGTGTAGCGTTGGATGCAATGTGACTTGTCCATGGTCCCGTGGGTGACTTTTCTAGTGGTCTCCCTTGGTCCATCCAAGCAATGGCTGGATGATGCACATCAGTATATACTCTGTCGGGACATGTACCGCTGTCTCTTACCAGCCCAGCCCGCTTCTGTCTTCGTGATACAGAGTGAGATCCACTGTTCGATCACGGAGAAGCTCGGGCACACGGTGGAGTACTCGCGCACCAAGGAGTCTCCGCAGCGAACTTTAGTAGAAGCAAGCTGTCGGATCTTGTATCCTGCTAGCTCGGTAGCTTTAGCTGATCGTTGCGCAAGTAGATCCTGTCCGCCAAAATCATCGCGATGAAGAAGAGTGCTGACACAAAGTCGAAAAATGTTGTTCGAGGAACTCGCTAGTGACGGCAGGCTATATGCATGTCTTTCAATGCTAGCGGAAAGAAAATCCATGTGTCGCCTAAAGAACTCAGGATCGATGTTGTATTTGCTCCCAAGGGCAGACACCCACGATGGGGATAGGAAGCCTCGGATGAAGACCAACTGCCCGAAGCCTCCCGTTGGGACAGAGGTGGCAGCCGACAAGGCTTCATGTTGCTCTTGACTGTAGTGTTGCACACCCCATTCATTCTCCCAGCTGTTGTACACCACGACCAAATCATGGGGTTGCTCGGTTTCTGAAGCAAAAATGGCGGTATCTTCTTCCGTTTTCACCGAGTTGAGAAGGCTACGGTCTTGCAGCAACCATTCTTTCATAGCGACATAGTTGTTTCCTGGGAAGGTGGAGGTGCTCGAATATCTCTTTGAAAGCGAAATTATTGCCCGGACATAATTTTCTGGTGTCACTATCGAGATTAGTGTGTTACACGGTGGATCGCGAACTAGTAAGATGGGGGGGTCTTACGCGCGGACTTGCTGCGCTCCACGTTGTGTTGTGTACCCATGGCGTTCAAAGCACAAGCGCTGGCGTTGTGCGTTGTAACACCTTATACAGTTGAGAGTTAAATAGGAAAGGTTCAACCAGTATTGGAAGGGACGCGAAAACTGAGTTTAGTCGACTAAGGCGGCTATAAGACGACGTGAGGCTTTTCAAGAAGTTAATCATGAACGGGAGGTGGTGGAGGGGTTAGTTAAGGTACCTTGAGGTGAGGCAGCTAATTACCCCGGCGCTTGTCGCTCTCATAGCATAAGGTATAGCCGCTGTGCTGTGCGGCGTGAGCATAGCCACAATACTTATGCATGAGGTGCACTTTGCGACAGCCAAGACCAGCGCTTAGCGACAGCCTCGCGCGTCGCGCCATACCGCCACAGCGGCCACACCATCTGCAATTCTGCATGCTGTCCCCACGCGTGATTACCGAGAGAACCCGTCCAGGATCCAGGCGCCAAGTTCATACCGACCTAGCAAGGTAGGAGTCGTTCTTTATGCGTCGATAAAGTGAGTGCAACCTGGACTGCAGGCTCGCGGACCGTGGACCGGAAAAGGCTTGAAAAGTCACTGCGAGGATTTCGACCTTACATTTCGCTTCATCAGCGACGACTATCTCGTCCTCATTCTCCCCCGAGACGTGGCAGCCATGGATAGACCCGTCCCGCCAGAGGCCCCTGCCGTATTGGTGTTTGCTGGCGTCCGTCACGACTTGGCAAAGGAGAGTGAAGAACGCGACAAGAGGAAGAGGCAGCACTCGTCATCGCCTTCTGAGTTCGGGTATCGGTTTTGAATGACCCGTCGATTAGGAGTCGAACGAATGCAGTCAGACCACATCGACCGCGTCCCACTCTGCATCTCTTGCCATCATCTCCGCCGTCCTGAACCACCGCGACATTCCTTCAAAGGAATCGCCCTGCATCCATTCTTTCATAGACTCGAGAGACGCCACGAGCATGTACAAGTCCCGCATTCTTACGCTTTTCGGGCTGATCGATCGGGGTCGTTTCGGTGGACTCGCTCGTCGTGGCTGACTCGTAGGTGGCATTAGAGCAGGCGCGGAGAGAGCTATTAAGAATCAGTCCAAGTTCTCTGCCGGGGCACGCTATACTCACGGCCGGTGGCGCCCCGCGGAGTGTCTCTTTCCTCCGTCGCCAGCGAGCTGCGCTTAGATCCAGTGGAAGCCCCGGACGTTGGGAAAGTCTGCACATTCTTTGGCTGCTGTCGTAGCTGTTTTTTGGGACGCGTGCGGAAGTGCAGGCGTGCTTCACGGGCGTGATAACATCCTCGCGATAGCAACGGCTACGCTTCGCCGTATGATGTGATGCAGATGCCCTCTCAGGCAAGATGGCGTCGCTGGGAAATGAATGGGTCGCTCCAGGATAGATCACTGAAATCCTTGAGGTCAATTGACTGCTATGAGTCAAACCAGTCGTATATGACGTCGACAATAGGCGGGTTGACAAGGCCCGGTGGCATTCTCGTGGGTGACCTGGTGGAGTTGAGAGTCAGGGATAGCAAGTAAACAAAGGCGGGTTGCGGCGGTGGCTGATTTGGATCTCGAGCCACCGGCAGCGTGAGAACTATGGATCCTCGGAGTATCGTAAATACGGCGCCGGTCGACGCACAGTGTGAACTTGAGATCAACACGGTAACAGCTGATGTTCTCGCCAACCCTGCACAGATCAGGTCATCATGAAGAACCTCTTCACTTTGTCGTACTATCAAATCGCGTCCTCGCTAATATCCCCTCAGGACAGCGCCTTCTGCTCTACATGCTGCTCATATGTCTTACGCACAAAGATGCCGCCATCGATGTGACTGCTTTCATGCACGTCATCCAAGGGAATGGAGTTGGTGATCAGCACTGTTCTCCCCCTCGACTCGTGCGCATACCCATTAACTGGCATACTACCACTACCGGTCGCATCCTTGCCGCCCGTGCGCCTGGTTGATTGGTAGTTCTTGATGGACCGGGCCAGTACACCCTTGAGAGCAGGCAGGGACCCAACAACGACGGCAGTCGCTGTCTCGACCGCGCCCCAGATGGCGAGACCGATGAGGTCGACCTGATCACCAACGATGACCTGCGACATGCGGACGATGGCGACAGCGATTATGATGAACCCGAGGCTGAAGGCTATACCAAGACCAATCTTCTTGCGCTTGTCCAGCTGGAGGGAGGCCAGGACCATGATGGGGAGTGCCATGATCATGAGATCGCTGGCTATGTCGACGGACGTCGAGTAGAGGACGTTGAAGCGCTGCATCCAGACGTCTCTGTCCGAGTCGCAGCCACCTGCAGCATGTCAGCGAGGGTCTGCACGCGGAAGGGGGCCAAGCAATAGGACACATGGCAGACACATACCAGCCTTGAAATATTGACCCGGGGGCGTGCAGGTCAGAGCGCTGGCCAGCCAGCATCCAATGTAAGCCAGCGCGCAAAACACACAGACACAATACCAGAGCCTTCGCAGCACGGGCAACGGCCTGATCACCCGGTAAAAGAGTGCTAGGAAGCTCGCCTTGATGGACCACAGCGTCGTCCAGAACAGTTTGATGATGGGAAACTGCCACCGCTTCAGCTCAATCTGCATCTGGCTGATACCCTCCACGTCGGTGAAATCGAGTCGTCCGGCGATGAGATACGTCGTGTACCACAGCGCGTTCATCTGCTGCGTCTGCAGGATGGCCATGGTGAGGATGCATAGCCAGGCGAAGATGACCCAGCAGTCGTCGGGGAGAAAGGTGCGATTCTGGCGCCACCGGACGCTGAGGCGGACACCCACAAAGACTGTGGCCACGCTAAAGCACACCCAGATGATTGTCAGGAGGCCCTCGCGGTCAATCGTCCGCGCGGCGCCCTGGAGGGGAGCACTAGGGTCGGGCGGCGGCGGGAGCTGCTGGTCTGGTTCGGACATTTTGATCGTGGCGCCTACTAATAGTCAATGACACTGGGGGAGGTTGGAACTGTTATATGCATCCGCATCTCCGCGACATGTTACGTCCTGGAACGGCCATCAACCCCCCTTTCCTGCCGCGTTGCTGCAGGTACGGTTCAGAAACGGCATGTGCAGAAGGATCCCAGACATGGGAAATCGTGGCCACAACCCTCGCCGCCGACCCAGAAGTGCAGGTACAGCAGAGATGCGTCTGAGACGCCATGTGCCTGTCTGCAAGCAGCATCCTTGAAATGGCCGCTCGTGGTGAGGATTAGGGCAATGGCAGGGTCAGTACTCAAAAGGTTCGAAACGACAGGGCGCCAGTACGTCGTGCATTGCTGGTAATGTTGGCTCGGAGACTCGGCCCTGTCCCATGCATGTGTGATTTATTAGTTCCTGCTGATGCCTCCAGGGCTTTAATCTACCATGATGGTCAAGGGTATTTTCAGCTCAAGGGGCTAACAGAGCACGAGTCGCTCTTCTCTCCAGCCAGTGTGTTCACACTTTGAGTCGTTGGCACGCTCTACCCGTTGGAGCATGACGAGTTCTCTCTGGATTGAAAAGGACGTGGAGGATTGTCGGCCACGTCGACTCTGGTCTGCCACACTGCTGTAGTGGGTGTGGGTGGTGCGCGAATCCTTCGCCGAGCTTCCTGCAGCATTCGAGGTCGCGGCCCAGGAATGTTTCGACAGCGGCAAAATGTGCCACTTTCCGAACCCATGGCTATTTTTCAGGTCATAATAATATCAACTGACCTGGGCTATGTCCTTTTGCTCAAGGCATGCCTATCATGCTCAGCCCCAGAGGAAAACACCACTCCGGCATCCACCACACTTTGAACCATGCGCACTTGTTCAATCTAGCGCGACAACAAGTCTGCAAAGGGTGTCTCAGCTTGATGAAGAGCTTTGTGGACTTGACCCTTTCCAGCCAGCTAGCCAAGACCTGCTCTCTCATTTTCCGCCATGGACACGATCTTCCGGCCCGACGAATAGTACAAAAAGGGTCATTTGTGGCGCTCAACTTCTCAAGTGGCCAAGTCCAGCGGATCAATTGCTAATTTGATGGGGACGCTGCATTAGTCTATCGGCACGGCTCTGTCAAGCATCTCCCCGGCTCGACCCCTGCTTGGTGGCTTGACCCCAGCTCATGAAGACTTGGCAATGTTGGCGATCGAATGAAGGGGGGCGGCTTATATGCAGTTGGCTGCACGAAAAAGCCTTGGACAGGGTCTCCGTTGGTCCAGAATTCCCTCGCACTTTTTTTCATGCATTCAAGGCTGGGCTCGGGCCAATTTTCGGGTTGAAGGACAGTGTCTCGCCTCCTTGGCCTCCAGGTTCCAGGACCATAAACCAGACATGGACCTTGTCATTCCACTCGAACAGTGCAGCCGCGGTAATTATGTTCGCGAGATGAACTGCATAGAGGCAAGTGATTACCTATTTCGACATCGCCCCCTGGTCAGTGGGATACCATACGATTACCTGCCTAATAGCGTAAGATGATCGGGTTCGCTGGCCTCGAACCCATGGGGATGCATGCCCACGTGTGTCGGTGTCCACCACGAAGCTTCGAAACAAATTTTGGAATAAGAATGCTGGTCTGGGCTGTTCTTGAGCTGATCGCTTTTGGAAGCCCTCACACCGGTCAAGGAAAGTTGCAGCTCCTCGTGGCCCCCTCCACTCGACACGATGCGTTTTCTCCCACTTGTCTCGCTGCTGGGGTCGACCCTCGCAGCTGTGCAGGAGTGCAGATGCGTCAGTCACCATCCTCCACACCCATTCATGCTCAAACGTGTCGCTGACCATCGTTGCTAGGTCCCTGGCGACAAATGCTGGCCGTCGCAATGCTCCTGGGACGGACTGGATAGGCTCCTGGGCGGCAACAAGCTCATCAAGAGTCAGCCCCTCGCGCGGTCCTGCTACGACGGACCCGACAAGGACTTGGAAGAGTGCGCCTATGTGACCAAGATGTGGTCGGACCAGGACTTCCAGACATCCAAGCCCATCGGCCGACCGTACCCGTACAACATCACCTGCGCGCCCGTCGACTACGCCGCCGACGAGACACCCGGGGAATGCATACTGGGGCCCCTCCCGACGTACGCTGTCAATGCGACGACACGAGAGGATATCGAGGCTACATTAGCGTATGCAAAACGCAAGAACATCCGCCTCGTGGTCACTGGCACGGGCCACGATCTGCTGGCTCGATCGGACGGCTATGGCGGTCTTGAGGTTTGGTTGCGCCACTTCCGTAACGGCATCCAATTCCAAGAAACGTTCCAGCCCTCGGACGGCTGCACCAAGTCTGGCTGGACGGGGAGCGCCATCCACATTGACGGCAACTACCAGTGGCGCGATGTCTACAAGGTGGCCAAGGCCAACGACGCGATTGTTGTCGGTGGCGGCGCTGTCTCTGTCGGCGCGATTGGCGGCTGGGCGTCTGGCGGTGGCCACGGGCCTGCCACGCGCAACTATGGTCTTGGAGCGGATCAGATCCTCGAGGCTGAAGTCATGCTAGCCGACGGGACGATGGTCACCGCCAACCACTGCCAGAACAAGGATTTGTTCCGGGCGATGCGCGGTGGTGGTCCTGGCTATGGTATCACACTGAGCGCCGTCGTCAAGGCACACCCCAACGTCGACGTTGTCACGTTTCACTCTCTTGCCGTCGCGCCTTATGCACAGACACCCGAGAACGCAGACCTGCTCGACGCCGTCAGCGTGCTGATCCAGAACTTCCCCGACTTGAGCGACGCTGGGTTCGCCGGCTACGCATACTGGTTCCGCAACTTTCCAGGCCCCTTTATTGGTGAGATCCAATCAGGCTACTCTCATGGCTTCTGGACGATTGGCAAGACCCGAGAGGAAGCGGATGCTGGCTTCGCGCCTGTCCGCGCTCTGCTCGAGCCCTTTAAGGATCGCCTCCTTGTCGTTGAGAGCTTCCGTAACTACACGGACTACTGGTCTTTTTACGAGGCAGAGTCTGGCTTGTACGACCCCACTGGCGACACATCTATCGTCACGTCACGTTTGATCGACCGCCCTGCCGTGGAGGACTACGACCGCGTACGTGATGCAGTCGAAGTCATGAGCGGCGACGCCTCGGAATACGCGTCCAACGTCGTGCTCCTCGTCGGTGGAGGCCAGAACTTTGAAGACGCCGACGACGAGACTTCTGGTCTGCACCCCGCGTGGCGTACTTCGTCCTTTGCGCTCGTCACGGGGCGCGGCGTGCCCAAGACCGCGAGCAACGAGCTGCGCCAGTATGTCAACGACGATGTTACCTTTGTCAAGGGCGCCGCCACAAAGAACCTGGCACCCAACACTGGCGGGTACATGAACGAGGGCGATCGACATGATCCAGACTACAAGGACACGTTTTACGGATCCAACTACGCGGCACATCTGGCTACCAAGAATAAGTATGACCCCGACCACGTCTTTTACTGTCCGACATGTGTTGGCTCAGAAGAGTGGAGGGAGAGACCTGATGGACCGCTCTGTCGGGTTTAGACATCACGCACGTGGCTTGCAAAAGCAATGCCTTCAATATTAGACGCTTAATATTCCATGTAAACAATGTTTCCTCCTCTCGCTGTCGCTGGCATGACCCGTGGATTCTACACGCCGGGATGGGCGTCACTTCTCAGTCCTCTTGAAGCGTCGAGGCTCTCGAATACTGCAAGCTTTAAGGGGAAGGACCATAGCTTTCAGCTGCACCCAATGAGCGTGCGACGGCCTTGCAAGACCGCGGCCATCCATCTGTCATTGGATGATGCCAGACAAGGCTACAGCCCTTCTGCCGGGAAGGACGTCGACGCCTCGGGGCTCTTCGATCTTACAATGGAAGGACCAGCAATCGGCTGTACACAATGAGCGTGCGGTGGCCTGGCGCGAGAGCAAGGCCGCCGATCTGCCATTGGACGATGCTAGACAAGATAACAGCCCCAGAGCAGTTTACAAGACCTGCTGCACCTTCCTCCAGCATCACAACATGCAATTCTCATAGCCAATCAGCGCGCCAGGATATCTTCGAACCTTAAATATCCTCACTCTGTCATTGGACGAGGGAAGCCCAGCTACCATGAGTACCACTGCCCACGACGACATACACCTTCCGCGAGAACACAGCTTGCGACCCGGTGGCCAACGACGGCGCCAGGATTCCTGCAAACCTGAATCCTGAATGTGTTATTGGACAAGCATAGCCAGGCTAACAGTGCAGTTTACATGACCTTCGCCTTCCGCCAGCATCACAACATGCAATCCTCATTGACAATGAGCGCGCCAGGATTCCTTCGAACCATAAGAATCCTGACAATGTCGTTGGCCGATGAGAGATAGTCACGAGTGACAGTGCCAGGCGTTGGTCGGGTTCCAGAGGCATGGGATTTGCTCGATGTGGCTCAAATTGTCATGTCTTTTGAACTTGCGCTCTTGAACTCTTCTTCCCGAAGGATTGAGTGCCGGCCTGAATCAAACGCTTGGCTGGGCTCAAATTGGAGCACGCAATGTGCTTTCGAGGCATTGTGGCCATTCTTTGCTTCGAGTACGAGTCTAGCCGCCAAGTCACTTCGGATGGCCCCTGGAAATGGTGCTCCATATGTGCAGAACTCGCATCATCCCCAAAAGAACGTTTGCAAGCTTAAGAGCCCGTGTACTAGAGATAAAAGTAGCAGAAAGGGCCGGACAGAGTGCCCATGACCTCTCTAATGACGGTTGAGTCACCGGCATACCCCATGTCTATGGGAACCCCCAGCGACGCTTTTCGGGACGGCGGCTCGTTGGCCCATGTGATGTGACCATAAGGGCCGCCGTTGAACTCGCGATGGCGCTGGTTGGGGTTGATTGCTTGCCAAAAGGTCCACATGCGGTCCATCATACCATGGTGCACCCAGAAGGCAGGATCTCCAGGGGAGGTGAAGAGCTCACCTCCGGGGTCGCCACTGTTGTTGGGTCAGCTTGCTTTAGAGTTTGCTGGTGCTTTGCAGGACGCGTCGCTCACCCGATCGTGTAATGAATCCCGCCATGAGGGCCAATCTCGGGCGTGTAAGGCACACCCTCGGACAGAAGCCGGTACTGCTCAATATCAGGCTTCAAGAGCAGGTCTTTCAAGGTCAGCGTGATACTGAATCTAATGCGCTTCCGTCGATTAAACTTACTGAGAACTGTCGAGTAGTTGGCGTAGCGGGTGTTCATGGCACCACCAAGATCGCGCATCAGACCGCGAGGGTTGTAGCCCAGGCCACCATCAGGACCGGGAGGTGCGCCTCCCTGGATGCCGCCCACAGGACCGAGATTGATCGTCATGTTGGCAAACGGGCCCGTTGTCACGTACCCGCCACCCGTGCCTGCGGGAAGAGGAATTGTATCACCCGAGACACCCTCAGGGGGGATGATGACAGGCCCATTATGGGGGACATAATCCCCGTTGCCACCGAGGCTGTAGTCGTCACCGTTGAAGAGGGGCGAGTCTTCAGGAGCGCTGGCATACTTGGCCCAGTCCCAGTATGGTTGATATCCCTTGTAGCCGCACTCTTCACGGAGCGCCTCCTCATATGTGTAGACAAACCAGCGATGCCAGGGAGGGAAGACGCCAGAGTAGTGGATGCTCAAGGTTTGCTAGATGTGTGTCACGACAAAGTCGTCAAACTGCAGAGTGGTCAGTGATTTGAATCGTTTGCGCAAGGGCCTCGCCATCGACGCACCCTGGATCTGGCACCAGGTGCAACACTCTCGGGTGTACGCGGGGGGAGCTGCTGTAGACACTTGACGGCATTGACATAGTCTAGTCTCTCCTCCTTGGAGAGCGAGCCACTGTTGGGGGTCAGTCCAAAAGGCATCAGTGAGAAGATTGAAACTACCCACTACTCTCTCCTAAAGGCAACATTCCGGGCGTTGCACGTAGCCTCCTTGCCACGTCTGTTCAGCCTCGCTTCGCGCCTTTCTAGCGACTAGAGCACATTGGTCTTGATATCTTCAATTAGATCAATGGCTTGCTGCTTGCTGTCGCTCTTTGCTAGGTCTCTGGGAAGGACGACGGCCGCCAAGGTGGCAGACGCAAAAACGGCAGCCGACACGATCGAGGTGAAACGCATAGTGCGCGGTGGACGGAATTGCTCGAAGCCCAAGGAATGGCTTGTCACGTTTGAAAGAAGGAGCTTCTTGTTGGCTATAAGGTGAATGAAAAAGCCCAATTAATATCGACCCTTGGTTATTCGTCGGAATACCTCGCAATCCCAAATTATTCTTCACCCGTCCAAATCTGGTCACCAATTGTCTTCAATGAACCTGATATTATCATCAGCTGCATTCGATTCTTCGGCTTCATCATCAGTGTCCCATGAACACTCGGGATGGCTCGAGTCCGAACCGCTGGAACTATACATTGAGTCGAAATGGTCGCTTGTGACTTGAGCAGTTAGCTTTGCGGTGTAACATGCCGCGATACTCACCAGAAAGCCTGGCCAAATCGGCCGACAGTTCATCTTGCTCCTCATGCGGCGGCTGGGTTGCCAATCTGCGCCTGAAAGCAGGCATCACCACCTCGTCGTACCAATCTCTATTGGTAACAAGTACGTCCCAATCCCAAGTCCCAACTACCTCATCGCTAGAGACCTGCCACAAACAGAGATAATGGTCCTCATAGTACCGGTTCGATTTTCCGTACGGGTCAGGGATGCCGTAATAGTTCATCTCAGCAGCAGCATTGAGAACAGGAAGACCAGCCGCCAGCCGAACGGTTGGATCAACGACTGTCAGTTTTTGCGCACCCCTTCCAGGTCGCTCAGCCCTGAATTTTGCTAACTCTTCGAGTTCTGTGGCCGAGGTTGTGAATGGGATAAACGGGGTTGGTTCCCGATGCTTGTGGTCAAGGTGGGTAGACAAAGATTTCTTTCGATATTCGAAAGTATCGAGTCGATGTTCCGGCGCTCTTGACATCAGACAGTTGTCAGCATTCAGCCGGCTTTCAGACTTATAATCCCAAGTTCTCAGGAGTGGAACTTTAAGTGCTTGCGAGCGACTGGCACGCCAGGGGTGCTCCTCCTCTTCAGTCTTAACGACAGTCTGCAACTCCTGGTTCGGAGGAACTATGGCCGTGAGCCGATCAGAGACCGTATCTGCGTCCATATTCGTCTTGAAGAGATTATCGTCCGCTGGATCAGGAGAACTCATTGTTGGATGGTTCAAGTGCCAACTGGAACGACGGAACGACGTCATGTTGTGGCCGCCTGTCCCGGTCCCCTCACTCTGTCCGTACTTACCTGGTACTCGGGCTGAGGGGAACGCGAGCGCATTGAGCCAAACTACCAAATACTTCGATTTTACTTACCCTGCGAGTCGCATGCCGCTATCGTGAATAAGTCGATAGAGGCAGAAGCCTCAATCCAATTAAAGCCAGGGCAGCCAAGACAGGGACTCTTTCCCAGCTCACTCGATACAGACGCAGCTTGCCCTCCTTTGAAATAGCCATGGGGCTGTATGTGCGTCAATTTGAACCGTCGTGCAGTTCTTTGTCGTTTTCTGACAAGAGCAGACGTTTTCGCGCGAGATTTATTAACTAAACAATACATCACAAGCTTGCCCACTGGCGAGCGCCCCGCTTCAGCGCATCCGCGGGAGGCTAGTGCTCTTTGGGCATACATGTAGTGACTGGAGTATTGCATTATCACTTCGCGAAAAGCCCTGTGGCAGAACATCGCACGACTCTAGTCCAACAAATGCATTGCATCACTCAATACGCGCCGGCACAAGAGACTCTTTACTGGGTAACTGTTGTTGAATGGCGGCGTGTCGAAATGACATTTGGTGCTTCGTCTTAGCGGTCAGCACACGCGTAAACGCGCCAACGCGACGGTTCGTCCCGAGACGTCCCCCGCTAGCAAAGGCCGGCCAATCAAAGCACCACGATGCTGCAACAACAGACCAATTTGGCTGTAGGCTAGTGACTGCCACAGGCCAATCACAGGCTTTCCAGGCTTGGTTGTCCGGCCGCCGACGTGACCCAGCCGCAGGGTAGGCGGAGCGCACGCAAACAACGTTGCAACGCCAATGCCCATGATCACACCATTTGACATTTCAATTTCAACCCGCTGCCTCACCGTTCAGCCATGCCTCACATACATCCAACACCACAATACGCCGATGCAATTCATCTACCTAGCGGTCAAAATCTCACCCGAAAGTAGGCTGCTGCAACTATTCAGATCCTGCGCGTCGAATTCACCCGGTAGCCACACTCATGTTTGCATCTCCCTGGTCGTGCGGCAGCTTGGGTCCAAAGCCACAGTTCCAGCCTGTGCTGCGGCAGGGACCAACATCACGCCCATTTTCCCAGAATCATGACAGCTCATCCTGATTGTTGCTGGTAATTGATTGGGCGGTCGCTCAATTTGACAGGTGTCACTTTGTGCATCAGGTCTTGCGGATGTGTCAATTATGGGACTGGAATGATCATTCTACACCGCACGTCGGGCTGAGTCTGGATTGCGATGAAGCATCTCTCGTGGCTGGCATGACTGACCGGCGCAGAAGTGAGCTCCAGGCAATCAGCGCCACATCAGGGTACAGCAGCGCAAAGTGGTGAGCGCGGAGGTGATATATCACTTCTGTACGTACGAAAGGCGACAAGCACCGCGTTTGCAGCTCGCTTCCCGCCAACAAAACAGTCAAAAAGTAGCGACATGCCTCTACACGCTCATTGACCGTCTCCCGTCTTCATCCGCCTTCATTTCCTCCTCATCAGCTGACCGACCATCATGGTGATGCCCGCCGCCATCAGACTGACGCCAATCGACGCACCTGCGCTTGTCTACGGCCCTGACATGCCATGCCTCCCGCCGCTTCACTCACCTGATCAGGCTCGTTTTGTCTTGCGTACTATGGAGCCCAGGATTATCAACAGACGTCCTTCCGCCAGCGACATCTTCTGGTTGCCCAACGGTCAGGCACGGTACCAGCCTCCAAGACCTACGCGATGGATCACTCAAACTCCTCTTTTCTACCCTCGCGACTCTGAGATCGTCAAGAAACAACAGGGGTCCGCACGGCCAAATGCCAGAGCCATCAGGCAGAAGGCGAGGCCACGAAATCGGCGTTTCTCGTTCTCGCAAGCGCAGCTCGCGACAGCCCGTCTGCAGAAGTGGTTCACAACGAGCATGGCGACAACAGAAGGATTTGAGACAAAGAAAAGACATGGAAAAAATGGACTCCTTACGCCGCCACCGTTCGACTCTCCGTAAGTCAATGTAGTCCTCTGACGCACTTTTTCTAATGATAAACAGACAGCGTTGCCTGGGTGAACCTTTCCTACCTCGCGCGCGAGACCAAGATGGCCCGAAGAGAATGGACCTGAAGAAGGAAAGATCTTCCGCGGACGAAACGACGCCTTGAGCCGGGGGTCATGTTAAGAGCCGGTGATTGGCAAAAATAGACGATGACATGGGTTATGCGAGACGATACTGATGATACAATGATTTGGATTCATGTTTTCCCCGAGCCAGTCATCCGTTGGATGAAGCCTGGCGGTGTCGAGCTCACTGGCAGTCACTCGGTAGGCTGCACGTCAGCTTCTGCGATGTCTACGTTTGTGTCGCGCTTGGCTTGTTGGAACGACGCACGTTTCTGTGCTTGATCTGGAGGGACATGATCAGCGCACTGACAGCTGCTCGATACAACGTCGAACATACATAGATTTCCGAGTAGGGGGGGCAAATAGAGACGACTCGAGGGACCGGTCCCCTTAGTACAAGTGTACGGTGGCTTTCTTTCCATTCAACCCTGGCTGTAGTCCGTCTAACAAGTCCTCCCCGCGACGAAGCTGCCTGAGGCTGCGCAATAGGTGCAAATGTTGCCATGCTGCGTCCGATACAGCATCCAGGGGTCCTTGAGAGGGACGGTCATCCGCATGGATAATACTTGAGGTAGTTCTGTATTTCTTTTGGGGTGAATGAGTGGCAGTATAGCAGGCGGCCTCATGGCTCGGGGCTCTTGTTCCAGTGCGATGAATTTACAGGTGCTGCAAGCTATCAAATGTCTTGTGGACTTGGCTTGCTAGTTTCCCATAGACATGACCGCTTATTGAAGGGGATTGAAGCCATGAGCACTGGTTCTTACCGTGTTCATGTTTATTTGTGTGGCAGAGTCTCCAAAGTGTGGTTCAAGAACCAATGGCAGAATGTCATCTCCATTAAGACAACTGGTTCGATACCGATTCTTCTCATCTAAGCTGAAGGACACGTCTTAATTGTCCTTTTTAGTAGCCAGAGTGCCACTTCTTCACTTCACCGCCAGCACAGAACGCATCGAAAAGCTTCTCTGAATGTTTTCCCCTACTTATACCCTTGGGTGCTGCGAATTTCCAAGCTTGCAGAACTAGAAAAGACAAACAGCTATCCCCTAACACGAAGAACTAGAGTTGACTAACCACAAACAGAATGAACCCTGATTTTACCTATGAAGCAAAGGCTTCTAGCAAATATAACCCAAGAACAACCAACTAAGTTTCAGTATAAATCTTGACATCAACATTGTGCATGCTCTTGTCAAAACGACAGTACGGCGACGTGCAGTTGCGCGGGCACTGGTGACCCAAGATGCAATCCACATCATTACACTCGAGGCGATTCTTGCAGGGAGACTGGCGCGCAATTTCCCGTAAGATGTCCTGCTCCCTTTTGCTGAGGGGTGCTCCATGGGTGTGTCCACAATCACCATACTTCTGTAGGTAGGGGCAGGCTCCCAGGAGGTGAAATACATTACACAGTTTGCGCTGTATAATCGGACCTAGCTCCTGTTGCGTAAAACGGGATGACGGATCAATTCTCTGACCTTGTCGATTTCTTATGATCCCCTTGGACACAGGGACACTTGATGGCAGAGTGGTAGGAGGAGGTTTGGCAACTGTGGAAGCGTAGTTCGCCGATGGCGTGGTCGGGGGCGTGATGCGGAACGACACTCTTCGTTTGATATCGGGAAGCCTTTCGTCCCTGAAAATGTGTTCAAAGGACGTGGTCGGGACGTGGAATCTATCCTTGATATTGGCTAACTCATGGACGAACGGCGGACCCTTGAGCAGGGTGATACGTTGACGTGTCGCTTTGTCTCGGGCAATCGGCTCAAGAAGACGAGCGTATCCAGCGTCGGCCGATCCGCCGAAAAAGATTTGCTGGCAGTGAACGTCTTCCAAGTGCACAGTCACCATCGCTGTTGCGCGATTAGCATGGTCAGCATAGCGGGTGGCATTGAGCCACCTAGTCAGGGTCAAGTAATTGTGAACGTACCATTTATCTTTGCATCCGCACATTCTTTCCCGTTACCCGCGTCGACAAAGTCTGCCAGCGTGTGTCCAATATTGAACCCGCGGACAAAGTTTACAAACGTAACCTCTGAAGTAATGTCCAGCTTCTTGTATGTGGCCGCAAGTCCCTCCACATTCGCATACACACGAATCAGAACCTTCATGTGGGGGGCTAGATGGGGGAAAGATGTCTTGAGCTCTGCTTCGGCGGCCTCTTTGAGCAGGCTGACTGCTCTTTTGCCCCCTTCCAAGCCTTGTTGAACGAGCTCGTTGGTGAACTATTGGCATTAGATCATTGTCTTGCGAGAACAAGCCTGGAGCGGGTGTCCCGGCTGGGCCATCTTTATAGAACTCACGGGCATGTTGTCTCCGTCAACTATAACCAGCGCAAATGCGTATCGATCCTGCTGAAGTTAGTCGAAGCGTCTGAAGAAGCACGCAGTGGTCTTGTCAACTAACCTTCTCACGAATGAGAGTCTGCACCTCCTCCTTTTGTTCCTTAAGATCACTGCGTACTTTCTGAATTGCGTCCTTCTTGTCCTGGAGCTCAGACTCTGTCTCAGACAACTTGTTGGAGAGGTCGTCAATGTAGGCAAATAGTTGCTGTCGTTGAACGTCAGCAAACATACCCTCACGGTGGAAGGGAGATATGCCTTCACGACTGAGCGCTTTTGGTCATCCTGCCTCTCGCATGACTCCCACTCAACCTTCAAACCGTCCAGCTGCTGCGCGCTGGCCATCTTCGCTACTGGCACGAGTTGGTACAGCGTCGAGCGTGAGAAGGGGATTTGATTTGTTGTCGACAGTCAGGAAATGTTCCGAAGATGGCAGATCAATCTTGCGCGGGGACAAACAGCCTTTTTCTCATGCGCTCTTCACCCGGTTGGTTGTCTGCTTTAGTCCGGGTCAAATGGCCATGTTGGTTCAACGAGTTGGTTCAACGACCAATAGTGAAACGACAGCTGTCTCTGCGGCCGCTATGCCGGCCATGTGCATTGCGCTTGGGCGCAGAGGAGAAACAGCTCCAACAGAAACTGTTCTGTAATGGAAGGGATGGGACAGCAAAGGCAGTTATTGCATTCCAAGTCTGGCGGCGAGGGCACAACGTGCTTGTGCATCCTGATCGTCAACTGTATCTTGATTGCGTTGAGTGTGAAGGTGAAGCGCGACGAATGACCTCGACCTTGTATGCCTCGTCCGGGTCTTGGCTGCATGTCGCGGACCGTGGCTGAGCGTTGTGGTGGGTGGTACTGGGCGCGTCGAAAGGCACTCAGGAGGGGCTTTGCATCAAAGAAGGTGGCCCAGTCACTCAATAATGCATTTTTCTCCTTGCCTTTGGCTCTCTTCAACAGCCTTGCTCCTCGTCTTCTTGCATGAAAATGCAGAAACAATCCGTGGCGAGACCGCACACGTGCAGGTTGGTCGGTGAAACGAGCTTGGTTTTGCAGATACCTTTGGCTGAGCTTAGGGGGTTGTAACGAGCGCAGACGTGTAAACAGTGTAATGTGATCTTGTTGAATGCACTGCATGAGCCTAACGCTGAACATCGCAGCTTCAAGACGTCTTCGCTGAAGCCCAGCTCATGGGCTCCATAGCTTCCCCAAGGGTGAATCAACAGGCGCCTTGGGAGAGGCCCTTCCATCTATCAAACGCAGCTCAGCCTTTATATCGTGGTGGAAGTGCACAAAACGGGCGAGGCAGATCCGCTGGCTCATTTGGCTGATCAACATTGAAATGGCTGGAGGAAGTGGAAGAGTATCTAACTAGAGGCCGCGTCTTCGACGTCGACCGCCCATGTACAAATCAACCTGGCTTCAAGGACTGCCACACTCATTCAACGGCACGTCGCGCTGTCGAAGCTTGTCGCTACCCCTCCGAGTCGGGTTGTTTTGCTCAGGGGTCTTTCTGGAGGACATCCTTGGTGTCGTCTTGCTGCTGGCCTCACAGCTGACATCTGTCAATTTGAGACAAACACCAATATGTCGATGCTGAGGTGAATATTCAAGAGCTACTCAACATCCCTCACACTGGGTCGGATAGAACTAGCTGCTCGACTAATTCTGCCCCTTCTGAGCACAGTCTCGTACCCTTCTCACCGTCAAACATCCGACGGAATCCCATGATCGCTTCATCTTGGAGTTCAAAGTACTGGGACGGCTTGATGGCAGATGGGTTGTCTGAGCTCAGAGGAAAGATTGCCAAGAGGCCAATGAGTGGTCCACACAGCCTTTTCCACTTCCGGCCTTGTCCAAGATGATCGTGCAAGAATCTCCTTCCTCATTGTTGGGCTTCAGGCCATAGCTTGCCAGCTATCTTGTCGAGTTCAGCTGACCCCGCTCTGTACCGTCCGCGGCGCTGTTTGGCATCGTCGACCCTTGCGGCCATCAAGTACTGGATAATGCGGACCTTGCATTTGTTCAAGTTTGTCTTACCAACGGCACCTCGCAAGAACGCGACTTGCGAATCGAGACTTTCATAGATGTTGGCGCCTTTCGCCACCGCTTGTGTTTTCTTGTGCGTTTGGTGCCATGTATCGCGGAGTTTATTTAATTGCCATGTCGAAAACGGACCGAGAACTAGGGCAGCTAGCTTCAAGACTGCGGCATCAGGGGGGCAAGTCGATAAGTATTAGATAGAGGTATCCAGCTCTAGGAGACGTCTCCTCAACGGATCATCGAGCTCGCCTGTCCGGTGAGACTTTGCACGAGGGCTCGCTGCGCACTTGGATGGAAGCGCTTTCCTATTTAACCTAGCCCTGGCGGCACCCGAAAGCGTTGCTTTCCCGGGTGGAGGAACCAGTTTCACTGGATAGGTCTTGTGCAAGCCATATAGCCCGTCTTGCTCGCAAACGGGCAATTCCTCAGGGACAAGCGGCTGTCCAGCAGGAAGAAAGTTAATAGACCGGGTAGTGCAGGATGAGAAGTTCACGACGGCGTGATATTGACGCGGTCTCGTGATAGTCATCTCGCCAGGACCAGCGCAGTGAACGTCGAACTCGATGCCCTCCCGCTAGAGGGTCGACGGTGCAATCAATAGATCGAGGTGTCGAACGAACTGAGAACAGTCGCCATAGTTCCAATTCGTCCGGATATATTGCTCGAACTTGCGTGTATTATCTGGCCGGATAACCACCTAAATCTTATATCCTATGTTAGTGATATTGCACGATAAGAAGTCCGCGTCCTCGCAGTAGAAAGCAGTGCTAGAGTAGGCCGCCCCGATATGGTAATAGCTAGTATTCGCCACGTATAGTTCCTTGCATCTAGCTAGAGTCTCTCCGGGGTGGAGCATATAGTCCAGTGGAGAAGTCCCGCCGCCACCGTAGTAGCTAATGGGATGCTTTAGAGGAGCTCTAATAAGGTTCTCCAGGAAGTTTATCGCCTCCTCGACACTCGGTCGTTTGGGCAGATTGTCGAAATCTGGCCACTAAAACAAGGATTCCCCTCTCGAGGCCCGTAGATTGCAAGTTTTACCACCTGACCGAGCGCCATACTGGACGCCGAAATAGTCTGCCTCCTCGTATAGCTTGATGGTGGCAGGATTCAGACTCGGGCATCGGAGTACAACTCGATTTTGAAAGGTCGAATCTGACATAAATTTCGTCAGAGTCGGCACAAGCTTGTCCCCCATGTCCTCACGCACCAAGACAAAGCGGTCTCTGCTTTCGCTTGTCCCCCTCGACGTGTCGCGATCTCGTCACGTCGTTGGCGGCTTGGTTTCCGTTTCTCGCTGTGGTCTCGCTTGTTTCTGTCTCGCTTGACTCTGCGTCTTCGCTTGTCCCTTTGCATTGACTGGCTAGACTGTTTGGTCTCGCAGTTGCCTCTTCCGGGCTGTTGGGAGGCTCTTGCTCCGAGTTGCCCTCGACCCTGGTGTTGGCCCTCGCGTTGTAAACATGGTCCACTCCATGCGAGCTGGCTTTGTCCGTCCTGGGATGATCGACCATAGATAACTCCGACATGTGGCTTGATGATGCATTCGAGATCGCCCCTCCTCCGATCCCAACTGGACGTCCAGGCCGACTGGCTAGGACCGCGTGTTCGCCAGCTACTAATGATGCGTTCAAAGACGGCGCGGAACTGTGCTTCCATGCTCCAAGATCTGCTTCGAACTGGTCCAGGCCACGTTGGAATTCAGGTATCCTTTCCGCGAACGCCACCGCAATTGGCCCGATCATGTTCACAATGTCGTGGTCTCGAACTTGGGGTGCCCTTCGAGCTCTCGCGCGGGTCTTTGTTCCTGTGGTCGCTTTTGTGCCGTCTCGCACGTATTGCTGTCGGATCATGTCTAGTTTTGAATTCAATTGCACGAGTTCTCCGAACTTGTCGCGGAGGCTGCCGAAACGTGCTTCGAGGTTATTCATAGTGAGTCGGGGTGCGCGTGTGCCTTTCGGTCGCGAGTCGCCAATTTGTCCGTGTTGTGTGGTGTCGATGTGCGCAAGGAGAAGTTGGAACTTGAATGGAAGGCATTTCTTTGTCTTGTTGGGCAATCATGAGCACGGAGCACCTGCTGCCTCGCGGTCAACAGAGGGCGCCCCCTCTGCGCACCGGGCTCGGAAATGGGCAGATGGATGGATCATTTATTGCCTACTATCCGTACGTAAGTATACATGATATCGCGAGGGCTGCGACCTTTGATTCACCTGATTGAAAAGATCATGGAGTTTTGAGTTGATTTGGTCGGCCGGCCCTCGACTCAATAGCCGTGACCGCAGTCGCTGTGGCTTTAGCATCAAGGGTCCAGTCCTCTGTCCGAGCGGTCATTCTATCAAGAGTTACCGTATAGAAAGACTTGCGCAGCTAAAATGGGCACCCAATTGCGGTCGTCTTCCTGGCTCTAATAAACAGCTGGGCGGAACAAACTTGGAGTGGGAAATGTGGCAGCTAGAATTCGTGGCAGGATGCTGACAAATAGTGCGAAAAAAAGTCTTATGACTACGCTAGCTCCGCACCCAACGCTCGAATCTAAGTGCATGTCCCTCCCTCTATCCGTATTACCTTTTCGATTCGCCTGTGCCAGGTCGGCTGCTAACCTCAAATGGCACTCTCCTTTAAATTATAGCTGACAACTCGATGGACTGTGTGGATAATAACCAAACTTATGTGGGTACTACAGTCTGCGAGCCTGTTCCTGCTTCAAGCTACCCTAGAGCGACATGCGTGTTCATGTTCCTGCGGATCTAGTATTTACTGAGAGTCTGAGTCTCTGAGAGGATGGCCCTGCCACGCTAGCGGCGCGCTTCGCCACTGTTCGGTTCCGATTGGTTTTCTTACTGTCACTAGCGACAAGAACCTGCATTAGCGCTGAAGCTAGCGAGTGCCGAGTGGCAGGTGCCACTTGTGCCAGGCACCGTCAGTCAGTCAGTGCGTCAGTGTCAGTATCCGTAGATCTCCTCGATTGAGGTGACGCAGGTGTTGGACTTTTCTGTTCTCCTCATCCCTCGTACTACGATCGCTCCCTTTGTCACTTGAAGCGCTTCAAACCAAAGATCGCGGCAAGTCTTCGCACCATCAGCACTGAGATTGTCGAGGATTTCAACAAGGAGTTGCCACGCGGTTTCTTATGACCCTTTGTCGTCGGGCTACATTGGTTGATGGGCGTATCTGTTCTAACATAGAATCTAATTACCTGCTGCCTCAGTACAGCCGACAGAAACATTGACACTCGCGATCACCTCAACTGCGCCCGCGCACGACACCAAGCAGTTCGCTTCTCGTCACTGAGCCCTGCGACCGCGACAAGAGACCGCGATTGCAAGCTCCTTCTTCCCTACCTGCACACGCATCAAATCCAACGCGCATCGACCTCGAACTCTGCCAGTCTGTTTACTTTTGGACTGACTACCTATGAGTCCTGCTGCGTGAATTTCTGCTTCTAAGAGGGCAAGACCAGCTTTGGCAGCATTACCTTCACGGGACCCGCTATGGTGACTCTTCGATGCGACGATGACCACAATTGGGCAGCTGGGCTTCGCTCCCGTCGGATCAACGCGAAAGTTTTTGCGACCCTAGTCACTATTATTACATGGGCTGCGACTCCCCCAGTCCTCACGCCACGTGTTGCTGCCGACCTTATCCACGCTTCCACGCCCTGGCCTAGAGGCAGTCGCTTCCAGCCTCAATGCAACTCTATACCGCATTGTCCTCACCAACCCATGCGCATGCGCATTCAGCATGTCGACGCGGTGACACTGGGTGACTGGGCAACAATGCTTCGATCAGAAATAGCTACAACAGAACTCAGAGGTGGTCTCATGGCTTTTACTTGCAGCCTGGCTAGGGTTGTTTGGCTGCGCGGGCGCCCCACTGACCCTGGCCAACCACCAAGCCTGAAGCTCAAGCCTGAGCGGACAAGGCGCATACGATGATACGAGAGCAATCTTATTTTGTCGATGCGTGTTCTAGACCTGCCTTTCGGGCGCCCAGTGGGCGACCACGGCATATCTGGCGGCGCCTGTGAAGCGGGAAACAGGTGGCCACAGTAGAGTAAGCTTCCCGTGCGTGAGCATATTTACACTTTGCTGACAGCCTGACAGGTCACAGTTTCCGGCAAATTGTATCACGGACAACCCTTAATGCTCGACCCCGGTCTGGCTTCCCACTGCGCAGGCATTGCAGCCCTGCGGGCCCCCGTCAACATGGAACGTCTTCGGGACTAAGAGGCATTTCGTGGACGATATATAGCGCCGAGATGCCCACAACTCCATCATACAGCTCGTATAGCTCCGTCATCGTCCACAACACAAGTCAAAACGAGATCCAATGTCTGGCTTGAATCATGTCGTCCGAAGACAAGAATTCTTGCCGTGCCTGGCGCATCAACAACCCGGGCAATGTCGTGGCAAACCTCGAGCTCGTCACGATCCCCTGTCCGTCGGCGGAGGCCATTGGCAAGAATGAAGTTCTCGTCCGCGTCACGTCAGCAAGCATCTGGAGGGGCGATTGGTGGCCCGTCGAGATGGGCGGCGCTCACAAGATCATGGGCGTGTCGTTTCCGCGGTCACCTGGCATGGACTTTGGCGGTCATGTTGTCGCAGTCGGTCGCAAGGTCGTCGGCGTGAAGCCCGGCGATGCTGTTTTTGGTCGCATGGACCCTTTCAAGCAGGGATCTCTCTCCGAATACGTCGTGGCCCCATCCGACGGTGTCGCCGTGCTGCAGCGCGGCATCTCCCCGCGTGAAGCTGGTGCCGCCGGCACGGCGTCCCTTGCCGCATACCAGAGCATGGCGCCTTATGTCCAAGAGGGCGACCACGTCCTCATCAATGGAGGGTCCGGCGGAGTTGGCACCTTTGCGATCCAGATTGCCAAGGCGCTTGGATGCCACGTCACCGTCACCTGCTCTACAGACAAGGTCCCCCTCTGCTCCGAGCTCGGCGCCGACAGCATCATCAACTACAACAAGGAGAATGTCATGGCCGCACTGCGCCAGAGAGGCAAGGTCTTTGCGCACGTGGTGGACAATGTGGTCGGATCGCCGTCCGACCTCTTCCCCGGATGCGACGATATTATGCTCCCCGGAAAGAAGCGCTATTACGTCTCTGTCGGGAGCGGTATCAACATTTCCTCTGTCGTCAACACGAACGTTGGTACAATGTTGCCGTCCTGGCTCGGGGGCTCCAAGCACAAATGGAAGCCTCTTGTGGTGGCTAATTCGCACGACGACCTTGCCCAGATTGCAAAGTGGATGGCTGAGAAGAAAGTGAGGACAGTCGTTGATTCGACATTTGCCTTTGACGAGGTTCCAGACGCCTTCTCCAGGCATAAGAAGGGTTCCATGGCGGGCAAGATCCTCATTGATGTGGCAGCAGTGGACACTGCGGGGGTGGACAAGATGGAGTGAGCCCGCATTCGCACCAGACGTAGCGTTGGGCAGTGGCGCACAGCCCGGAGATCCTTTTCAGTCTCTATGAACTGTCTGTTGGCTACAAGAGATATGTACCATAGACGCGGCAGCGGTGGTAGTCTAATTCAACAGCGCAGAACGTGTCTCATTTCCAGGCCAGCTGACCTTGTCTAACCTAGCTCAAAATCACGACGCCAGATATTTTCGTCAGTCAAACCGTCGAGCAAGATGCCACTTGAGCGACAGTGTCTTTGGATGTCCAGACGGTCCGACAGTACGATCTCCGGGTGGATATTCGCCTCAAAGATCGGTCATGTCGAGGACAGTCTCGTCTGTCTCAGGGTCGCTCGCCGCCTATCTGTATGGATTGGTGTCTTGGACTCGAGTGCTCACTTGGCCCTCGAGGTGAAGCCCGGTTATCCTGTCAAGATGCTCCCCTCGGCTTTTCATTCTGGCGTCTACTGCTGGTTTTGGTCGCCTCGGAAGTATGCCAATCAACTATTTAGGTCTGTAAAGCCCCTGGACGCCTTCCGGGATCGCGGATGGATTCAAATTAATGATCCACGGCTGTACAGGACCATGACCCGAGCGGGTCTTTGTGCTGCTCTCGTCGCTCATTCGGTGGACTAGACAGTGAGACCATGTCAATCTGTCTGTCAATTGTACCTGTGGATGAGGATGCGAGATCTTGATCAAGCCGCTCCAAGATAGATTTAAGTCACGTCGCGACATGGGACACGAGGCGAAGGTTCTTGCTCATTGTGTTCGTCTGGTACATCAAGATGGGGACATGGCACAAGATTCTGCCTACGGACCTCTCACTCCACATCCAATTCTTCGAGTCTTCTAACTGTTCCCACCGCAACAAATTGAGCTGCACCAGAGCTCGTGATGGAACGAACTTATCTTGCTGCTGTTTAGCGTTTCCTTCTCCTCGTGTCATCAAGCATCCAAGGCGCAGCGGTTGCGATAATCCTGTATAGAATGGGCACTCGTGCCATACTGTGAAGCTGCCGCTGTGGCTGAATACGCGATCAGGTCGACGAACCCATTGCACATACTGGTGCCGCTGCGGGATAATTTGGGAGGATTTTGGACAATTTTTGATTAAACATGTGTCCTGTCATGAGAGATAAAAAGCAAAACTCGGACTAACGACAATGACTGGGTCATGGAAGACTCGCAGAGCCGCCTGGGGGGGACACGATCCGTCAACATTGACACTGGAAAACGGCTTGCGTGAATAAATGGGAAATAGACATTAACTCAGCTTAGTCCTCGTTGCCGCACGCTTGGCTGACGGCTTAGAGGGCGGTTCAGGGTACAAATGACACAAGCACATCAGTGGCTTTGAAGAGTACTAGTGTCTGACTTTTCTTGGAATACTTGATGCACATGACGATGGTACAGCACCATCGCTCAAGGTTGCCGTTGATTAAAAATACTGGCAGAATTCTCTAATGCCAAAGCCATCGCAGGGCTTGTTTACTCGATCAGGTCGTTGCTAGCCACTGGCATATTCTTCCCGTGAGCCAGGGGTCAGCTGGATGGTCTTCTTAGCAAGGTGAAAGACAACCATTGCTAGTATCACGCGTGTCTAACGTGGCAAATGCCAACCAAGCTGCGATAATTGCCTCCAAAAAAGACAGTAATTAATCACAAACACTTTTCACGGAGTTGAGGCTCGTAATCAATTGCTTTTTACGATGGCGTTCAGAAAATCACGGTGAATAGGGTAGGCGAGCTCGGGCATTGAGGGCGCTCATTGCAGCCAGGCTGCTGCCAAAGCCAAGGACGCTACCAATGACGTCTTCGAGAGGCGCGGATGACCGCAATTAATTTGGATCCCCTGCATCGTGACAAACACACAAGGCAAGATCCGATGGTTCTAGAGATCGATCTAGCCCAGGCTGTTTGTCCAAGGGTCAGGCTCCACACACACGACAGCAGAACAGAGCCACATTTTAAAAATTTCTCCATCTACTAATTACAGAACAGCTTGCGTCGTTCATACAAATGATAACCCGATGAGCCACCCAGTCGACGAGCATCGACATTCTGGAGTCCATTTACAAGAGGTGTAAAATTCACACGTGACCAGGGCTGTGTGCACAGTCGTGGGATTCGAGCGGGGCGCAAGCTGGTCATGTTGTGCGCGGTCAGATTAGAACAAGCATCGTGAGGCCAGCACAGGCAACTGCTTGTGCAGTTAATGCTGCCGCCGTGTTGATCGTGCTACTGCCAGGTAGGGGTGACGTGAGTCTTGGCGTGATCGACGGCGCTGGCGTTGATCAGTAAATTGACCAAGTGCTTGAGCTTCCAAGTGCCAACGCGTTCCGGCCCAAGCTCACAACAGCCCCGGAAGCTGTCAACATGACTGACCAATATGATCGTGTGACAGGCGGCGGGTCCATCCAAACTGACGACTCGGAGCATTTCAAGTGGAGTATTGCCTAGGCCAGTGCGTCAAGTTCCAATTTAAGTCCCCGCCGGGAGTCCCACTTTGTGTTACCACACCTCAGCTACAGCGTGACTGCGTTGATAGACGCGTTCTAGGGGTCCATGAGCTTTGGCGGGGTGAATGACTCTCCCGTTCCATTTTCAACATGACATTTTCTCGTTCCACGTTCAACTGTTGCGTGCTCACCCCTTCACAAACACCATCGCGACTCCTGCTGCCATCAGCCTCGCCTTTCTTACGCCTATGCTTCTTGTTGCAAGCACTCGGCCATCCACAATCCCCACTTGCCTCTCCCGCATCAGATCATCATCACTACACTTCAGCATCACGAAGCCAGACAAGCTCGGCATCACTAGGCATTCCTGCTGTCCCGCCGCATGTTGCGAATCTGGAGAGCTGAGTCCACCTGGTTCACGCACTTGGCGCATTCTGAACTGTTGCAGCACGGTGTGGAATCAAACAGCGGCCACCCCAAGATCAAGAGATGAAAGCTTCCCGAAGCACGATGCGAACTCAAGAAGCGGCACGCCGCCCGATCGATCGATACAAGAACACATACAATACCTCGCTGCGGCAGCTTGCCCGGCAATTTTGACTCAATCTGTTTTGGAATTTTGACGTTGGCCTCTCTGCTCTCCATGATCAAGCCGGAACCTGGTTCCTAGCTCATCTTGTAAGTCCTGGTGCCGAGAATCCTTCCACGAAGTCGCATTCTGGCCAGGCAGGTATGGGCACTCATGGTCCCTGAGCTGGGGGCAGGGGAAGTCTTGTTGACTGGAGCTGCAACCACTTTTCTTCACACTCGACCACCCTTTGCACTCGAACACGACCGACAATGTCGACATGTTCGCTCTCAAGACCAAGGCCTGGCATCCCCTCTCATTGTTGCTTCCTCCGTTGAAGCTTGTTGATACCATTACAGATACACAGACAGCGGGACGCAATTGACGACACAGCCCTCGCTGGGGCGACATTCAGGCTCGTATCGTACTCATCCTGCTTCTACTCACACTGACATTGGACTAGATCATCAGAATACTGATTACTCCTTTGGCACACGCTGACCAGACGGCAGACCAGTCAATACACCCGACTGAGACGACGGTGACTCATTGCCAAGATGCACTCTGTTTCTGTTTCTGTTCATTGCTGACACGCCGACAGATATGCACCACCCAGGTCGTCTGAAGACCGATTTTGGCTGAACTGTGTCGACTTTCAACGAGACTGCCATCGCCGTACTTCTCTCGAATACAAATGGGTGAGTGAACACTGGCGGAGAAAAGTGGCTGACGTTGTTCCCAGAACGCTTCAGCGCAAAGCATCCTTGCTACGCTCGATGTTCCTGATCCATGCCACGAACGACTCATGTTACTCTTTGCTTTCATGAACACCTTCATTGTTCCAATGGTCTCGGTGAGTTGCTTTGTTCTTCTGAGTAGCTGACGACAAGCACACGGGAACGACTCTACCCATTCACCAGCAGACTCGTATTCTGCGACAAGTTCGAAACCCCGTGAGCTGCACTGACTGCGTTCCCAGGAATCTTTCTGTTCAGTCATAAACTGGTGTGATGGCTGACGTGGAACAGATCGCAGTTTTTGAACTAATTTACGTTGCTTCACTCAGGCTCACCCTGTCCCCCAGGATTCCAAGGATGGATCTCTGCCGGATACCAAGGATGGATTCTCACCGGACTCTGTACATGGATTCCCAGGACCCCGAGGATGGATCTTCTGCCAGGACCCGGCCATGGACCCTGCTCGAGCCTCTTGAACCATGTCCTACGTTTGTAAGTCCTGCATTTTGTGACCATTACGTCTGGACGTGCGCTGACACTGAGATCCAGGCCGTGACTGTCCATGATGTTGACCCCCCCTTGTTTGGTGCCCCTCACCACCATCTGTTTGCATTTGCCTCTGACTCCATGACGTTTTTTCCATGTCCTTGTGTGCTGCTGAACAATTACTGACGCAAGATGGTGCTCACGCTTGAAGTCTCCAGCCGGCGGTGGAAAGCTAACATTGGCAGAAACCTCCATTCACACATCATCAAGGTCCCGACAACGTTTTGAATTCGCTGCAGCCACTCTACTTTCACAAAGCGATGCCCCAGTCGCCGTGGCTCTTCCAGACACCATCGTCCACATGCTAACCCAAGAAGAAGCCTTTGTGCTCGAACATACACAAAGGTAAGTCACCATCGCCTCTACTTCGTGGCTCCCATGTCTTGGGTACTCGGAGAAATGTCACTGACACGCTCTAGAGTCAGACTCAACGATCCTGTCAATCAATCTCTTGTCGTTCGAGCCCATGGAACAACATCGACCTGTTCCTTGTTGTCCTTGCCACTTGGCGAACAAGTCAACTCGCTAAAGGTCTGTTCACCGGGATTGGTGCCCTGCTCCAGGTGGTCCTTTACAGGATGCAGAACATCACCCCAAGTCCAATACACCAAGAGGCAACAGAGAGCATTCACCTGACACCGGCCATCTGCTGATTTCTGGCTTCGCTAAAGACCAAAACCCGGACTCTTTTCCTCTCAACTTCTCCTTTGAGTTTCTCTTTGATCAAACTCTTTACCGCGCGCTCAAACGCCCCGTGGACAAAAAAGCATTCCCCTGGCAATTTGCTCGCGCCATTTGCCAGGCTC